TTTTTTTTTTTTTTTTTTGCGGTATGCGGGTCTCTCACTGCTGTGGCCTCTCCCGTTGCAGAGCACAGGCTCCGGATGCGCAGGCTCAGCGGCCATGGCTCACGGGCCCAGCCACTCCGAGGCATGTGGGATCTTCCCAGACCGGGGCACAAACCCATGTCCCCTGCATCAGCAGGCGGACTCTCAACCACTGCGCCACCAGGGAAGCCCTTCAGTGAAATTTTTAAAAATATAGTTTACCCACTTTCAAATTCAACTGTTTGGCCTAACTGCTGTTGAGTTTTGAGGGTACTTTTTATATGCTAGATGCCAGTCCTTTGTCAAATAAGTGGTGTGTAAATATTTTTCTTCTGTCTGTACCTTGTTATTTATCCTCTTAACAGAGTCTCTCTCAGATCAAAGTTTTTAATTTTGATGAAGTTCTATTAATTTTTTTATAGGTTATACTTTTGATTTTTTTTATAGGTTATACTTTTGATGTCCAGTCTAAGAACTCTTCACCAAATGTTGTGTCCCCAGATTTTTCTTCCATGTCTTTTTCTAAAAGTTCTGTGGCTTTACATTTGACATTTTGAGCTCTCTATTTTGTTCCATTGACCTAAGTGTTTCTTTGTCCTCCAATACCTCACAGGCTTGAATACTGCAGCCATGTAAGTCTTGAAACCAGGTAGAGTGATTTCTGCCACTTAATACTTTTTGTAAAATAAAATAATTTTGTAAAAATTATTTTAGATATTCTAGGGCCAGCGCCTATTCAAATAAATTTTAGAATATATTTGTGTATCTCTACAAAATGCCTTGCTGGGATTTTGATAGGAATTGAGACCTTTCCTATGTTGAGTCTTCCAGTCTGTGAATAGGGTAGGTCTCACTGTATAGTTAGATCTTCTTTGATTTCTTTCATCAGTGTTTTGCAGCTTTCAGCATATAGGTCCTGTATATATTTTGTTAGATTTGCAGTTAAGTTTTTTTTAAGCATTTGTGCATGGTATAGTATTTCTAATTTTCAGTTCCACATATTCATTGCTAGTACATAGAAATGTGATTATTTTGTATGTTGATCTTGAAACCTACAATGTTGCTGAATTCACTTATTAGTTTTGGGCAGTTCTTTGTTGTTGTTGATTTCTTGGGATTTTCTATGTAGACAATCATGTCACTTGAGAAGACAGGCAGTTTTATTTCTTCCTTTGTGACCTGTATGCATTATATATCCTTTTCTTGCCTTATTGCAATGACTAGAGCTTCCAGTAGTATGATAAGTGGCAGTAATGAGAATGGATATCATTGTCTTACCACAAGTTGTAGGGAATTAGGTCCTGTTGGTTGATGGTGTGGTTGAGTTCTATTTCCTTGCTGATTTTTTCTCTACTTATTCTATCAATTGTTGAGAGAGGAACTCCAACTATAATTGTGGATTTGTCTATTTATCATTTCAACTTTATTAGTGTTTGTCCCACATATATTGTAGCTCTATTTCTTAATGAATGCACATTTAGGACTGATATGTCTTCTTGATGCATTAACTCCCTTATCATTATACAATGTCCCTTTCTGTACCAGGTAGTTTTCTTTGCTCTGAAGTTGATTTTATGCTATAATAATATAACCACTCCCGCTTTCTTCTGATTAATGTTTGTATGATATTTCTTTGTCCGTCCTTGTACTTTAAACCTATCTATATCATTACATTTAAGTTGAGGTTGTTATAGAAATAAATCTTTGGGTCAATTAAAAAAATCCACTCTCCAGTCTCTTTTAATTTGTATATTTAGGCCATTTATATTAAATGCAATTGTTGCTATGTTAGGATTCAAGTCAACCATTCTATTTATTTATTTGTTTGTTTTCTGTTTGTTCTTAGTTTCTCTAATTTGTTTTTCCTGCCTGTGGGTTATATAAACATCTTTTAGCATCTCATTTAGATTTAACTGTAGTGGTTTTGACTGTATCTGTTTACGTACCCATTTTCTATGACTGCTGTATGTAAGTCACACTGCTTATGGTATTTTGTTATGGCAGCCCAAGTAGACTAAGATACCAACATTTTTCTAATTTTGCCCCCAACATTTTTCTAATTTTGCCCCAACTCTTTCCTTAATTTGACATGAATCCTGTAGCCATTGTTCTCTATCACTAACTTTCATGATAATAAAAAGCTGAGAAACATAAAAAACTCAGAATATAAATATTCAGAAATACACCTGCTAACCTACATCTGGTATTGGAAATGAAGTAGTTATCTAAATCTAATGTTGGCATCTACCCACATGTTGCTGCAAACATCTAGGAATATTTTTATGGTAATTTTTAAAAACAATGCAACAGTGTTGTGCTATTATATTTTAAAGAATCTGGCATTCCAAAAAAGCAATGATAAATGAAGTTCAACATTGTAACTATTGATGGAAGCCTAAGAAAGGAAGATGTCCTAATGGTTGCAGCCCACTGAAACCTCCTTGTAGAATTGATAGCCCACATCTGTGAGCCTGATTCTCTGGACTGTGGGTTGTAGATTTGGGTCACAGAGGATAGCCCTCAAATAGTGCAGAAGTCACAGAAATTGAAGCCCTGCCCCACCTCTCCCT